AGGCCTCAGGAGTCTAGCCACCATAGCCGGACAGTTTCTTTCTCTCACAGGTAACGCTCCAGACCACATCAGCTGGGAGTGGGGGGTGAAGCGCCCATTATGCTGATGCCGACCCATGGAAGAGGCAGGACACAGGGCCAGGAGGGAGGGGGCAGCTGCCCCACCTGGCAGACTTTTCCTTGGGGAGCAGGCTCCCTTCTCCTGTGGCAGGGTCCTGCTCGTATCCGGGCTCCCGCGGCTGTCCCCCTCGTGCCCGGAGTGTGCCAGTCCTGCTGCTGCCAGCCCTCCCGGGGGTCTGCCCGCCATGCTTTGCTGAGTTCCCACCCCCCTATGGCCATGGGGGAAGGGATCCCGCCAGAGACGCCAGTGGGGAGGGGGAGAAGCAGCCTGAGCAGGGACATCTGGACAGCCAGTGACGTCGCTGCAGGTGGGACTGGCCTTTCTCAGCTCCCCTCCCTCCAGCTCTTCCCCTCCCTCCACACCTGCCCCTTAGCTCGCCCCCCTCCCACACACACACCCAGCCGTGGCATGAGCCGGCTCTCACCCCGGCCCGCTGCGGGTGTGCTAGGCCCCAAGTCTGCGGCACTGGGGCTGTACTGTGCCTAGCACAAGGGGCCGGGGCTTGGCTGGCCCTCAGACACCAGCCGAATAAACACTGTTATTAAACCCTCAATGGTTTGGGACCTGGTTCCCCAAGCGACTCCCCAAACCGGCTGCAAGCGAGAGCTCAGCTGAGTACAGCCCTTGGCAACTAGCCAGACTCAGCAACGCCCGGCTGCCCTCGAAGGGGGTGTGTGTGTGTGGGGAGGGGGGGCTGAGCAGCAATGGGAAGCAGGTTGTAACTGGGGTCTGTATAGTGGGAGAGGAGCCTGGCAGTGAGTGGGGTGTGCATAGAGGGGGGGAGAGGCCTGGCAGTGGCTATGGGGGTGTTAAGGGGGGAGGAGCCTGGCAGTGGGTGGGACATTGAATAAAGGGGAGGAGCCTGGCAGTGGGTGGGGCATTGAATAAAGGGGAGGAGCCTGGCAGTGGGTGGGGCTGTGTGTAGGATGGGGAGGAGCCTGGCAGTGGGTGGGGCATTGAAGAAAGGGGAGGAGCCTGGCAGTGGGTGGGGCATTGACAAAAGGGGAGGAGCCTGGCACTGCAGCCAGGTGGGGGGAAGGACTCTGTCTCTGGGACCAGCCCCTGTTGCTCAGCAGCGTGCTCGGTCCTGCCATTGCGCCCGTGCCCTAGAGGAAGATGTGGGGTGCTGGACACTGCTTGTACAGTCAGGGCCTGCTGCTCGGCACCCGACGCTCCCCCTGCACTTGCATCCCCCAGGCAGCGGAAGGGCCCAGCCTACGCTGGCCCCACAGGGCGTGGTCTGGAGGGCAGGGCCCCTGTGCGCGTTCTTGGTAGCTCTGAGCCTGGCCTGAGCCCTGTCACTTCAGGGCCCTCCCGGTGCTGTGAGCTTGTCGGGCTCCTGCGCTCGCCCCCTGCCTGGCCGGCACTGGGTGCCCCGTGCAGCCGGGGAGATGCGTGCCGTGGGCTGGAGGCAGTGGGATGCTGCCCACCCCTGGGGAAGTGCAGGACGCGCAGGCAAGGCCGGACACGGGATCAGGACCACGGCTGGGGCTCCACAGCCTGCTTTAATGGGAGGCGGGGCTCAGGCCTGGCGGCCGGCCCGGGGCACTGCCACGCTCACTGGAAGGAGAAGCTGCTGCTCGGCAGCCCCCCGGACCACTGGCCGATGAACTTGAGCACGTCTTGGCACACGGGACTATGGGACGTCTGCAAGAGAGAAAAGGCGGCGCTGGGCACGGGCTTGCAGAGCCGGGTTGTGAGGCTGAACTCAGCTCCCTGGGAGTCAGCGCATCCCCCCGCTCCCTCCTGGGCTGCCTGGGCAATGCGAGCCCAGCCCCCGAGCATGGGCATGACCAGGCAGCAGCTGGGCCCAGCCCCCCGACCTCACCTGCCTCCCGCCCCCACAGGGGGGGCACCGCTACACTAGGGCAGCCGCGGAGCCGGTCCTCTGGACTGGAGCAGGGTGGGGCACAGCCCTGGGGCTGCTGGGGAAAGGGGGGACCCAGTGGGATAATACACATGGGGGCTGCGTGGGGCTGGGCCAGGCTCAGACCCCGTGGGAGGGCTGGGGCCAGCCAGTTCCTCTCCAGCTGAGAGGTGCTGGGCGGGGAGGGGTGGGTAGGTGGCTGCCCCCCATTCTCCCTCCCGGTGGGTACAGGCCTGTGAGTGATCAGAGCCTCTGCCTTGTCCTGCCCCTCCCATGAAGACAGGCCCTGCCCCCGCTCACCTTGACGGCCATCAGGAACTTGTTCCATGTGTCTTTGTTGGCTTCTTTCCCAGGCCGCTTGAACTCAACCTTGTTCCTCAGCACGGGGTAGCCTGGCCACAGACAGGCCGGTGAGCGGGGCCGAGCCCAGCTCCGCCCGACCCCCAGCCCTGCCGGCACCCCCGCAGGGGCTGGCCCGGGTGCTTAGCCAACAGTGCCACACTGGGCAGAGCCGGCGCGGGGACCCCGAGGTGCTGGGGGCCCGAACACACAGCAATGCCCCTGCCAGGACCACGCCCCACGCCCGAGGCCTTTGCCTGCAGTTCCCTCGCCAGTGTCTGGAGCCCCCTGATGCCAATTCCACTCCCTGCCACCAAGCCTGCTCCCCCCTGGTCCCAAACCTGCCTCCCACCCACCAACCCTGCCCAAAACCTCCCCCCCCAGTTGTCAATCCTGCCCCCATGGGTCCCAAACCTCTCCCCATCCTGCCCCCCCCCGCCAAGCCTGCCTCCCCCCCCCCAGGTTGCAAATCTCCCCCCCACAGCCAATCCTGCCCACCCAGGTCTGAATCATGCCCCCGATTCCCCGGGTTCTGATCCTGTCCCCTCTGTGTCAAACCTCCCCCCCACTGCCAATCTGCCGCCCCCTGGGTCCCAATCCTGCCCCCCATCCCCACGGGGCTGAGGGCCCAGGGACTCACCGGTAAGCAGGCAAGGCAGCGAGCGCACACCTGTGCTCGTGGCCACCAGCGAAGCCTCGTATGTGTCCCGCTCGTCTCGGGGCAGGACCTGCTCCAGCCGCTGGTCCATGGACATGGTGAGCACCCAGTCCCTGATCTCCTCCCGAGCCGCCTCCTGCCGCACAGCACAGAGCACTGTTGACTCCAGGCACCGGCCTGCGAGCCGGCCTGGCCCCGAGACCGGGGTGAGGGTCAGGCCCCCAGACCCTGAACCCCCACTGACAGAGGGGGCCCTGTCACTTGCATCCCCTGCCCGGTCCTGAGAGCTTGGGGGGGAGGGGACTGGTCACTAACCCCCTACTCACCTGGTGCTGAGAGCTGGGGCCTCATCCCTCGCTTCCTTTACCCCCCAGTCCTGAGAGCTGGGAGTCTGGCCCCTCGCCTCCCTAGTCCTCTGATCCTGAGACCTGGGGGCCTGATCCTTCCCTCCCCCCACTCACCTGTCCCTGAGACCTGGGGCCCTGGTTCCTTGTGCCATCCCCTATTGCTGGGAGCTGGGGCCCTGCTCCCTCACTTCCCCTGGCCCTGAGAGCCCGGAGCCTGGTCCCTCATGCTTAGGGTTACCATATGTCTGGTTTTTCCCGGACATGTCCGGCTTTTTGGTAATGAAACCCCCGTCCGGGGGGAACTGCCAAAAAGCCGAACATGTCCAGGAAAAATACCGGCCGGGCACTTCCCCTCCCGGGCTCCAACTGCTCTGCTCCTCCCCTGACTCTTCGGCTCTGTTTAAGAGCCGAGCTGCCCGAGCGCTCTGGCTTCGGGCAGCCCCCTTGCCTCCGGACCCCAAGCCGCCGGCCGGGCACTTCCCCTCCTGGGCTCCGGGGGCGCAGGGTCCG